ACCCCCGCAGCGGGCACACAGACCAGCAGACTAGCCCCGAGCGCGGGAACCCGGCCCATGGGCAGGAACAGGCTCGGCACGGCCGGCAGTGCGGACCAGAACCAGGACACCGGGACAGGGGACGTCCACACGGGGCACGGACACTCTCCGCACAGCAGCAGCCCTGCCCTGGCTGTGGGCTCGCACAGACGACACTTCAGAACCCCGTGGCCTTTGTGACACAATCAGACTCCGCACTGACGCTGCTCGTTCTCTCGGCACAACACAGCGCTGTGGGTGGACTGACAGGAAAAGCCTCCCTCTGCCAGGCGCACCGCCCGCACTCACAGAGCAGAGGGCGACGCTGCGAGGAGGGGCGGGCGAGTGCTGGGGGCAGACGAGGGAGGCCAGGGCTGAGCCGGGAGGACGACGGAGCGGGCTCCGGGCCCCTTTCTGCAGCCCGACCACAGTGCGGGTTTGACCTACACCTGCCAGAACTTCTTTAGCAAAGCAAACAAACAAACAAAACCTCAAGCGAAATACAGCAAAGGAGGCGTAAGCACACAGAGCCGCCTGCCACCTCACCAGGCGACGCCCCGTCCCAGCTGGACGCTCGCAGGGACGAGGGCAGCTCCGGAGCGTCCACTCAGAGACTGTCCTCCGAGCAGGGGGGCGAAGCAAGCGAGAAACACACGTCAGGAGTGTGACCGGGTTCATGACATCAGAAAAAAGACACACACACGTACGACACAAGAGCCCATGATGCTGAATTTTAACTCGAGAATCGGTGTGACCGAGGACCGTCTCCCAGCTGCCCACTAAAAGGGCCACAATGCCCACAGCTCGCTCCACGGAGAGGCCGCACATGCCAGGCCTGTCCCAGAGCAGCGGCTACCACGGTGTCCACGGTGGGGAATGGCACCGACTGTTCAGTCGCTCACTGCCCTGCGCTCACTGAGGGGGAGGGACCCACACCGGCCTGGCAGGAGCGCTCCCGTGGGGCCTGCAGCTCCCACGGAACCTGTCAGGGACGGCGCCAGCCCACGCCTGGCTTACTTGCTTTCCTCCTCCGCTTGGCGGGGGCCCGCGGCGTCGTGGGGCGCTGATACACGGCTGTGCTCAGACCAGAGGCAACGGCTTCGATGGTCTCGTCAAGCAGAGAAGACATCAGGTACCTTGGGACATGCTGCACGCAGGTGGGGTTGGTGGGCACCAGGCTCATCCACACTCTCCCAGGGAGGCCCACACAGCCTAGGCCCACCGCACCAGCTGGCATCACCCTCTCGATTCCACAAACCGCAGATGCTTCCTGCTGGCAGGGACCCAGGGGGGACCAGCCCCAGGAGAGGGGAGGCCTCCCTGGGAGCAGGCTCAGGAGCAAATGGAGCAGAGGAGTCACACCCCCAGGACACGGGCCGGGATGGACTGCAGGTGTCCTCCCTGGGAGCCGGTGGTGGCAGTGGTGTTTGATGGAAGCACTAGACCCAAGTGCCCCCAGCTCCTCACCCCCTCCCCACCCAGCAATGCTCCCACGGGAATGCCCTGAAGCTGGGCGGCCGCCCAGACCCGGGTGGGGCGAGTACCCACCTGGATGCTCCGGGCAGTGGACATGCGGTTCCGGTTCACAGTGGCTCGAACACGCTCGCTCTGCCGTGTCCTGGCGATGGCCCGGGTCCGGCCCTCACGAGGCCGCAGCCGGCTGGCGGTCGGCACCACATCGACCAAGAGCAGAGAGACCTCCTCCTCGGTCACGGGATCAGCATCTGGGAGGAACGGAGATGCTGGGCCGCTGTGCAGCTGGCCCTCCAGACCGGCAGTGCCGAAGCCTGGGCCCAGCTCCCACCGAGAGCCCACCCAGCTCGACGGGCCTGACTGCCCTGCTCTGGGCCGCGTGGACACTGAGGCGGCAGCACTACCTGCAGGAGAGGTGGCAGCTCCGGGGCTGGCACATCCCGGACAGAACCACTCGTCCACGGGCACCTCCTGGAGAGGGGGGTCCAAACACTCCATGTGGTACCTACAGGAGTGAAGGGCCAATCAGACCCGGGCCCGGCCGCACCCGGCACCGGAGAGCAGGTGCGCAGACGCGCCCCAGACCACAGCGTGGCCCGAGGTGCTAAGGCGTCTCCCTGCGCGTCAGGGCCCGGGCCTCGCTTCTCAGCTCCAGGGAGCAATGCTGGCTGTGGACGGGCCGGCAGGGGGCCCCACGCTCACCCAGCATCACAGCCATCGCAGAGCAGCAGGCGGTCCTCCCGGTCGCTGCGGCCACACACCTCGCAGAAGGTGGGGTCGTCCTCCTCCTCTCCGGCCCTGGCGTTCTCCACGGGGACCTGCAGGCAGAAGGCGCGGCTGCTCACATGGCAAGTGGCGCCGACCCGTCTACCCAGCAGGGCTGAGTCTGTGGTCGGCCCGGAGCAGCTCCCTCAGCTTCTTAAGGTTTCTCTGTGCCCCGCAGACCGACCCAGAGGCTCGGAACTAATACGCATCCAGGGGTTTTTATGTTTTGGGACCATTTTAAGGTAGTTTATCAAGAAGAAAAAACGGATTCAACCGAAAACAAAGTGGTGCCCATGCGAGGGCCCAGCGCAGAGCACGCAGTGGAGACAGCGGGGCCCTGGTGCTGGAGGAGCCCACCCCACGCCCCGGGCAACCACGAGAACAGGAAAGCAACCTTCAGGCAGCAGGTACTAACCACTCGGAAAACGTCACATAATCGAGCAAAGACGTGGAAACGCAGCTGCCATCACTTGAGCCCTGTCTGGTGGGAGGTCTGTGGACACGCCCCTGCCTCTCCTGCGAGCCCCCCAGCAACACCCCTGCAGGTGTCAGCAGCCGCGGGTGACAAGCAGGCCCCGTGTCTGGTGGGCTCTCCCCCTGCACCTCCCGTCACACCGAGGCAGACTTTCCAGGGAATGAGGTGCCTGCAGGAAAACTGCCCACACCAGGGCCCAGGCTGCCACCTGCAGCACCGACCCCAGAGCGTCAGAAAGGGTGTGGTCTCAGCAGAAATATGCACCTCACGCACCGGCACCTGCGGTTCTGTGCATTTTGTAACAAAAAGCGGGTCTACAGCTGCGAGAGCTGCGCGGCGTCCCTGGTGTTCAGGTCTAAGGCGCCTCTAGGAGCCTCTCTACGGCTCGTCCTCGGTACCAGAGGTGCGGAGGCCCTTTCGGTCTCTGAAAAGCAGAAAAGCCAGCCGAAACCTGGTCCCGCTCCCAAGAGAACCGCCTCCTCCAGGCCTGGCTGCGCGGCCAAGGGCAGGTAGGAGGTGAGCGCTGTGGAGAAGAGGGCGCCTGGGAAACGGCCCCCCTCCCCTGCAGTGCCCCTCCTCAGAACCCACGTGGCGACACCAGAGGTGCGGAGGCCCTTTCGGTCTCTGAAAAGCAGAAAAGCCAGCCGAAACCTGGTCCCGCTCCCAAGAGAACCGCCTCCTCCAGGCCTGGCTGCGCGGCCAAGGGCAGGTAGGAGGTGAGCGCTGTGGAGAAGAGGGCGCCTGGGAAACGGCCCCCCTCCCCTGCAGTGCCCCTCCTCAGAACCCACGTGGCCCACAGACAGGGCAGCACCCTCCCCCACGGGCTTCCGTCACGGCTGCAAATGGCAATCTGGTGGGTTTCTAAGAAGCGTGGGCCAGTACGCACTCATCTCAGGAAAGCAATTCGGAAAGCTTCCCCCCGAGACAGGGACCATGCAGTGAACACAGTGGTGGGGGCTCCCACAGCGCAGACACTCACCTTCTTCAGGACTTTGCCACCAAACTGGGCTCGAATACAAATGCGTTTAAATAGAGTTCGATCGACTGGACAGGAATTGGCATTCTGTGAGGAACAGGAGCGGTGTCAGGACCCTGCGGATCACTTTCACTAGTAACGTCCCACTCGAAATAAAGCACGCGCCGAGCCTGCAACATGCCTTCACCCCAAAAGCCAGACGGTCCGCCTCCGCGCGCGGCAGAGCTAAGCTGCTGGTCCACAGCGGCGAGGCAGGCGCCGCCGCCGCGAAGAAGAGGAAGGAAGGGGAGCCCGGCATGTGCACAAGGCCGCTCGCAGGCGTGAAGGGAGCTGAGGGAGAAGGCGCGCAGGGGACAGGGGACTGGCCACGGGCATCCCTTCTCTGTTCCAAGCCTGTGCCCCTGTTCCATGAGCTGCTCCCGTCTCAGCACACACAGAGGGCTCCCTCCTCAGAAACGCTGCTAAGATCTTCTTGCCTTAACAGTGTTTTCCACGAGTCCTATTAAACGCCTTTACTAGATACACCGTGTGCAGCGCTATGCACTTACCACTGTGAATCTCCATATCCTGGGGCAGCCCCCCCAAGCTACCAGCCCCCCTGCCCCCTGGGGTCTGGGCGCCTCTGGCCAGCACAGGACGGGGCTGCCCCCGAGCCTCCCACAGGCAGCCCTCAGCCCCTCTCCCTGCTGTGCACACCCTCGGACGCGTCTGCCGGACGCACTTGGTCCTCTGGCTCCCAGTGCACTCCCTGTGGGAGGACATGTCACACCCACACCTGCCTGAGGAGCCCTGGGCTCCGCCCACCCACGCGGGCCTCTGGGGGCTGTGCAGGGCTGTCGCCTTGTGGTGTGCGCAGTGGTGTCCCGCGCACCCCGCCGACCCCTGTGCTCAATGTCTACTTGTGAGTCCCTCCCGGGACGTCCGGAGCCTTATCGGGGCCTCCCCGCTATACCTCCCGGATGGCAAGGAGGCCGCCAGGTCCTGCGTGTGAGCTGCCTGCCGTCACACGCTTACAGAAGAGCCCCTCTCTGCCCATGAGGTGCCGCTGTGTCCACTGTGTACTCGTCCCCTGGCCCTGCCAAGCTCCACGGCCCGGGCCCCGTTCCCGGACAAAGTCCAGCGTAGCCACCACAGGACAAAGCGCCGCGCCCAGGAGGGACTCTCCCCCGGCGTCTC